TAAATTGCTTGTTAGTGAGAGATCAAATACCTTCATTATAAGAAGAACATATCAACTTTATACATATATATATAAGCCTATATAAAATACCAGAGATCTCTGAAGATACACACATCTCAGAATCGTGAAACACTTTTATATCGTCTGCTGCTACCCTCTAGTGATCAAATGTAAAACCTGTTGTCTAGAGGAGCTAAGGGTTGGTTATAACAGTTTTCAGTATTTTTTACGTAACGTGCACTGAGAAAAAAGGTTTGAGCTGACAACCAAATATTTCATTCAATATATGTGCAACTAAAATTTTTTGGTTGACACAACTAAACTTTAGTTGACAACAACCAAAGTTTGTTTCAGACGACTAAATAAGAAAATGAAAAAGAATTTGGTAGTCTCAACCAAACTTTGGTTGATATCAACTAAAGTTTAGTTGTGTCAACCAAAAAATTTTAGTTGCACATATATTAAATGAAATATTTGGTTGTCAGCTCAAACCTTTTTTCTCAGTGTGAAATGTATCGAATATTTTATAATAGTCAATGGTTTTATCAATAAATCAACTTTTCGTACAGTAATAATTAAAAGAAAGAAAATATTTAAAAGTTTATCATTTTCCCAAAAAAGTCGTTTTTCGAAAAAAAAAAAATCAGCTGTTACAACATACCCCGCGCTGGGGTATTCAGTCAATTTATAAGTTATTTCAGTAACAGTCAATTCTTTTGATGTGTGTAATTTTTAGACTTCAAGTATTCGATTTTCTTTTATCTTGAGAACCTCTAAAATTAATAAATTATTTATGATATATTTTAAGGAGGTTTAATACCAAACATAACCTCAAATGAAAAATACTTTTATACACAGAAAGTAAAATAATAATATATGAATAATAAATCATATTAATGTTATATTTATCTATTTTATTGTATTAAAAGTTGTTTTCGTTAAATAAATGAAAAACTTACCAAATTGTCAGAGAAATATGAAAGCTTAAGTATTCGCATGTTACAACTTACCCCAAAGGGACAAATTTTTAGATTAATTGAATTTTCTAATAATACGTGTCATTAATAATAAAATTTAATATACAATAATGAACACAGATATATTCAAAATCTTTATACTTGATTAAGAAAAAAATATAATTTTATGTATTAAAAAATCAAAGTTTACGAAAACTATTTTTTCTCGTTTTCCTGTCAAAATTGACCCACCTACGGAAAATCTTTTTCTGATACTGACATAGAACTATTAAATGTATTTATCAATTTTAGATGTTCTCAAGATAAAATAAAATCGAATACTTGAAGTCATAAAGTTACACACATTGAAAAAATTGACTGTTACATCTTACCCCTGTTACAACCAACCCCTAGCTTCTCTACATATAGCGGTTGTTTCCAAAGTTAATATTTTATAAACATCTTTTAATGAAATAAAAAATTATTTCAAATTTAAGATAAAGTAGGTATAAATATTATCTAAGAATAGAATTAGAAACTCCCTCTTTCATAATCTAAAATTCTACATGCATGTTAATGCAATGAAAGTATTTTCTACAAACTGCAACTTGGATTTATTAATAAAATTTTTATCCCGATGAAGTTTTTCAAAAAATAAAAATAAGAAGTAAAGCTGACTAGATGAGATAAATAGAAGGCCTGGGAAGCGAATGTTTGAAATCTTTTTTTTTTTTTTTTTGATACTGCAGCTTCTAAGACAAGTTTCCTATCGGATTGCTGTTTTTTACCCTAAGTCTAGTAAGAATCTAAGACTGGTTTACAATCCAGTCCTTGCTTCTTAACTTGTCTGGATAGAGTAGAGTCTTGTTTATGTAAAGTACTTAGAAGTAATTTGAAAATCAAAAAATTATACTTAAGGAATTGAAAGCAAAATTGCAGTTAGAAAATACCAATACAAGAGAGTCATCATCAATTTATAAGCATTTACAAAGAGAAAGAATTTCTGATTGATACAAAATGTTTCAATTAGATGAGAACATTAAAGAAAATTATTTTAGTCGAATAATGAAATTGTTAATACACGGAGAGACCGCCGGTTGGAAAAATTACTAAAAAGATTTACAAGTAGCGGAAATAAGGTTACTTTGTCATACAGCATACTTAATAAAACTGTAGATGCTGTAGACTATAGTAATTTCTATTCCAATTTGTGTACAATTTTACTATAGTCTACAGTTTTATTAAGTATGCTGCTAGTAGAATTTTCGATTTCCTACAGCAATATTTGACAATGTAACCTTATTTCCGCTACTTGTAAATTTTTTTAGTAATTTTTCCAACTGGCGGTCTCTCCGTGTATGAAAAAAAAATTATTCTATACATTTTTTTATAAAAACAATTTTTAAGTAACAAATAATTGTTATTATAAATAATAATTTTAGATGTTCATATTTTTTCAGGTATTTTTTTTCTAAAAAATGTTTTCTTCAATCAAAAGATATTTGTCTTATTTAAATCTGAATAGTAATGATAATAAAAATAATAATAATGATAATAAGTTAAATAATTAATTGAAAGACACTTTTTTTCTAAATAACTTTTCATAAACTTTTTTCTGTATAGTTTTTGTAAAAATTTAGAATCTTGCAATATTTTCAAAAATGAATATCCAAACAACAGTTGAAGAAAAAATCAATTATTTACAAAAATCCTGATGAACTTTCAGAAAAATCAGTAAAAATTCTATCAATTACACCCCTATATAGTGGTAATATATATATATATACTAGCAGCATACTTAATAAAACTGTAGACTATAGTAAAATTGTACACAAATTGGAATAGAAATTACTATAGTCTACAGTTTTATTAAGTATGCTGTATGACAAAGTAACCTTATTTCCGCTACTTGTAAATCTTTTTAGTAATTTTTCCAACCGGCGGTCTCTCCGTGTAATGATGCTTATAATGTTTTTATCGGAAGGGGTTAAATATTTGCAATATTGAAAAACGGTATTCGAAAGTGGGCCAAGGATCCGAGTTGCATATCTTTGCAAGGAATGAGGATAGTGAGTAAAACGAAGTAGAGAAGAAAAAGAGAGTAGGAAAAGAAGAAATACGCATGTAACAGACACACAAATTAACAGAGTGTGGGATGCGGGTAAATATAAGATGAAATCGAATAACTCGCGCTTAAAATTGCTTGAAATTCAAGGGCAGCAAGGAATTATGCGGTATAGAGGTTGCCTGTGTGCCATGGAAAAAGGTGAGATTATAAACGACAAAGGGCCTCGAATGTAAAAACGTCGTCCCAGATGGATGAGGCAGACGAACGAAAAGAAGAACTTCTACTGCCAATGTCGAACGACTTCTTCGCCTGCAATGCCAGCCAAGGTGATCATCTTCGCGATCTTCTCCTTCATCTAAGAAGGATGTCCTTTTTTTAAAATTTCTCTTAAAAACATTCTAAGGTTCTCCTAAGATATACCTCGCTTTCAATATAATACACTCAACAGAGTGAAAATGTTAAAATACCCTTTTTTTTATTCTGTATGTAGGCTCAATTTTTTGGTTATTTCAAACAAAATTAATGGGATAAATAAAAAATATTTATTCAAATTTTTGCCAAAAAAAAACGTAATCTTTCATTTCTCGAGAACTTTAAATTTAACTATTAAATAATTTTATTATTTATTTTGATAATGGGATTAATTTTAATTAATTTGACCTAATTACATTAAATAATGCGCAGTGAACAGACAACTTGATAGTTTTTATTATTAAGTAATAAAGAAATCATAATTTAAAATCAATATTAAAATTAAGGTTAAGAAACTATATTTTATTCTAAAACTAAGTAAATAATTTTCAGATTAAATCACATTTTATTGTTCCATGTGTTCACAAAGCTCTATTGCGTGCGTACTTTTATATTAGCTAAAGGGCAATGTGATAATTGCAAAAAAGTTTTTTGTAAATTAATTCTTATGCATATAAAGTGAAATTTGCAAATTCACTTTCTAAACAATATCGAAAAAAAAATGTGTCTCAGAGCTAAATAAATATTTATTTTATTTCCGCCTTATAACATTTTATTAATGATAAACAAAATTTTTATTTGGAACAAATAAATAGTTATTTAGCTTAGAGATAAATATATTTTTATTCGCAATTTAGTAAGAAAATTTAATTTAAAAACAAAATTTTAATAATTGTAAAGCACATTCTCTACATATATATAATATCTAGTATCAGTAAAACTTTTATCACATTTCATTGAAAATTATTGATAAAAACTGAAAAAATATTTATTCATTGATTAAGTAGTAAAAAATAACTGAAATTATCGAAAATTTCAGTCGATTTTTTACTAATCAATTAGTAAAATAAAACCTTTAACTTCAGATTTAGAAATAATGAAATAAATATATCAAACATATTATTCAAGATTTTAACCGAAATATTTGCTTCTATTTAAATAAAAAATAAATTTTATACTTTTCTGCATGCAATTTGTAAAAATAATAAAAACTCCTTTTCAGAAAATATAAAAAAGAATAATAATTGGAAAAATGAAAAATATAAACAAAGTAAAATATGAATTTTAATAAGACAAAATCTTACATGGAATACTTGTTTTGTATTTTTATAGTAAAAGATAAATAGAACAATTACAGTTTACAATATTACTCAGTCTTATTGAGAAAATTATTTCATAATAAAATAACTGAAATAATAAAATCAGTATACAGTCATTAAAACTAAACGACAACTATTGCTATTAACTCGGAAAATTTTTACTAATTTAATATTAAGAAATAATAATGCCTTAAGTTTGATTTTTTAAATGCCATATATATATATATGAATTTTACCAAATAATCATTATTTTATAATCATATTATAGACACTGTGTAAAATACCATATAGAAATTGTAAAAATAAAAATTTTTCAAATCAATAGCAAATTATTGCACATTATTCTTATCAATGTGTAATATCAATTATAAATCTTAATATTAAGACATCGCAATATTCTATTGGATATATCATACATAATATATACCATTCAGTATCTCATTGAATCAAATACATGAAAGTACCACGTACAAAATTCATATAAAATTGAGTCTTTTTTTTATAATAATTTAATCTACAAAAAAATAAATGTATTCTTTCCAAGCAAAAAATTGTAGCAAAACTATTATAGGCTTGGATCAAAAAAGACTAAAAATTAAAAAAAAAATAATAATACATATCTTTTAAATGTTTTTTAACAACATGTAATTGTTAGGTACAAAATTTTAATTTTTTCGACCACTTATCTCGTAAAATACTAAATGGATTTTTAATTTATTAAAACAATTATTATAAAATAATTAGAAGTTATTAAAAATCCGAACAGTGACTCATATTTTTTAACAATTTACAAAAGTTTTATTGTAATTATTTCAATAAATTTCAACAGTTTCGCAATTGACTGCCCTTCCTTATATTTTAGACTTCTCCACAAAATTGCATATCAATCCATTAAGTATTTTACGAGAAAAGTGGTTGAAAAAATTACCATTGTGAACCTAACAATCACATGCTATTAAACAAGATGATTCTTAAAAAGACAGTGGAAGCGAAAATTAAAATCATTTTCACAAATTAGCTAATACATGCAATTTTTGGCGTTGATTGCGTCGCTCTGAAAAATTTTAATATCGAGTATATCAAATTAATTATTATATATGCTAATTTTGATAATTAAATGAAATAAAGTTCGCGTGAGTAGCATTATAAAAACAAAAAGTTTAAAAGTTATTTCACGTAACCATTCAAACTACTTTCGTGGTTTTAACATTAAATGAAATGTTTCGGGTGGAAGGGCCACAAGTCCCGGTTGTAATCGACTCATTATATCATCAACAGCAAAGACATCATAATTTGAAAGAATTGTTGTGACCAAAACAAAAGTTAATCCCTGAACCAATTTTTGACCAATGCAAGTTCTCTTGCCAGTGGAAAATGGAAAGAAATAATTCGGTTTGACAACAATATTTCTCCTTTGACCATCAACTTTATCAACAATTGATTTTAAAAATCGCTCTGCACGAAAAGCTTTTGAATCTGCGCCCCAGTATTCTTCTCCCAAATTTAATTTATTATTGTTGATAAAAACAATAGTGTCTTTCTTGACAAAATATCCCCCAACTTCAGTGTCTTGTGTTGCAACATGTGGAACAATTGGAGAACTATTGGCTCTCAATGTCTCCCACATTACAGCTTCTGTGTAAGGCATATCTTTTTTATCATCTAACGAAATTAAATTTCGTCCTGTTTTCAACAAAACCTCATCGCATTCCTCTTGAATTTTTTTCTGTACCTCAGGATAAATGACCGCATAGGCCAAAATAATCATTGCCAAATTACCAATTGCCGAGTGACCACCAATGAAATCTTCTAATTCAAAAATAATATGTTCCCACGTTAAATCAGAATCAGGACTTTCCAATTGTATCAAAAGATTATCAGTAAAATCAAGTTGACCAATATTATTGTCATCATATTTTCCTCGTCGAGGATTGACAATTTTATCTAAAATAAAATCTCGTATCTCCGATGTCCAAAGATGAAGACGTTTAAATACATGTGAATAAAATGGCGAGAGCCAAGGCATAAAATCAACAGCGTATCCTTGATTAATGTCCCAAAAAATTTTATCAAAATTACTGATGATTCTTTTGAATCTATTGCAATTATAACCAAAACGAGTTGAGCACATGTATCCAGTAAACATATTAGCAGCTGCCGCTAAAATTAATGGTTTAAATGGTTGTTCTCCATTGAGATTTGGCGTATATTCTTCTTGCTTGAGAATCTTGAGAAATTCAGCACTTTCTATATAGGCTACTCGTGACAATTCTTCCATTTGAAAACTACCACCTCGTGGTGAACAGAAACTCCTCGCAAGTGATCTTCGTTTTCTTTGCAGATCCGACCAATCACATAAGGCGAGAGCTGAAATTTTATGAAAAAAAAAACAAGTTGCTATTTGTAAAATATTGAAATATTCTTATAAAACAGGACTTTCATGATTTTCATGTTTTGTATGTAACATTATGAAAAGTGTTAATCACCAATTTCTCATTGGAAAATATATGTAAAATATTTTTTAAAGATCTATTTGTATACACAGTAATAAAAAAAATAATTGCCGATTAGCCCATGTTAGTAAGATTTTGTTTTGCAAACACACTTTTAACATTTTTTAGATGTACCTCAGTATCAATTTTTCGAAACCAATTTGAATATAATATATAATTAATCTAAACTAAATAGTAAATCGTCTTTTTTCAATACATATACCTACATAACAAAAACCACCCTTCATATTTATATCGTTTCCATAAATTTTCATTTCAACATAAGCGGCAGTGAATGTTCTGACATGAAAATGAAAGCAGCATTAGACCTACTTAAAATTGATAATATTTAAATGCAATTTAAACTTGAAGAAAGTTTATGGGATGAAAAAAAATGACTTGCGTCGAGAAAAAATTTCATATACATAAAGAAAATAATCTTATTATTAAAATTAACTGAACACGTCAATTTTTTACATAAACTACAAAATACCTAAATCGATTAACTTTATTAGAATTTATTATAGAATATTTTTTTTACAATACATTAACTAATAATACTAATCTTCTAAATAAGGCTATTTGGAATTTTAATAACTGCTTAGAAAAACATCAAGAAACAAAAAAAAAAAAAATTAAAGAAATTAATAAATTATTAATCGTGTATTTTTTATTTATACTTATATCATAAGTAGATTAAAAAAAATTTTTAGGAAAGTAAATGGAAATTTAAGAAACAAAAAATTAAATGAAGCGAGAAAAAAAGAGAAGAAAAGATGGTTTAAAAATCAGAGTAACCTTGACCTTGAACTTCTTGGAGTCGACAAAATTTCCTACCACCTGGGCCAATGTCTGTTGAAATTACTTTCTCGGTGGTCGATACCTATACAAGAAAAACAAAATTCTCCAGGAGTCTACCATCCTTTCCTCACACTCTCTTGTGTGCCTTACGCACATTGAGAATAAACGGAAAATAAAAGTCTCTCGCGATGGCTCGTCCATCGACATCGTTATCGAGATCGAGTTTAACTTGCACATAAAAAGAGATACATCGGACCATTCGGAGAAGTGGTTAATTCGACTGTCAAGTCACTCTCCAGGCTACGCTTCCTGTTCCCAGTATTACGAGTTTGTACTGATAACCAGTCGCACTACAGCACCCTGATTATTATTATTATTCTTTTTTTATTAACGTCAATTTGCATCGCCCTTTATAAATAATTACATCCTTTTTTTCTTGTCGAAAAATTTTTAATTTAAAGAGGAAATCAAATACTGCGATTGAGAAATGAACAAAAAGAAATACAGATGAAAATAATCTGTGTTAAGAAATAAAGGAAATAAATGATTAATTCCAAAATATAAACTAAAGTACATATTTGTTTCAATCATTGAAATTTCTTAAAGAATATACAATTAAAATTTGTTAAAATAAAAATTATTTGTCAATTCAGGAAGAAGTGGAAAAATATCAACATAAAAAAAAAATTGATAATTTACCGTTTCACTAAAGGAAATACAAAAAAAAAACTAGACATATGATTCAGAGTTTATTATCTAATATACATATATAAAACTCATCGTGAATAATTAAGAATTTGAGGTTTTTATTTAAAAATTTATCGACTCTAAATTTATAGACGATGATAAAAGTGACAAAGTATTCAAAAGACAGGAAAGATTATAATTCATTACATAAAATTTAAATGCAATAAAAACGAAAATTTACTTCTCATAAAGCTCATGATCATCAATCAATAAATAAAATAAAATTCATATTATTTTTATTTTAGAGTGTAAAGAGAAAAAAACAAAAAAAAAAAAAGGTTTTCTGTACTATATTTACGCACGAATGCCAGCCATTACATTATAGAAGATTATAGATTTTATATCCTATGAAAAAGTTGAAAATAACTGAAAAATTTCATATTAATCTTCCTTCAATCTTATTTTAATGTAAGTTAATAATAAAATCTAAAATTTAAATATAATAAAAAAAATCAATTAAAGAATTTATATTTGTATTATTAATATAAAATCATACAAAATGATACAGATGAGTATTATATAATATATAATATATTAAATAATGTAATAAATATATGTTAATTTATCATAAACAAATCCGGAGAATACGGAACTGCTTCCGTAATATAAACCTACATGCATGATAATGTCAATTCACAACATTTTAACGAACACGACCCTCTAATTTTTTTCCAGTCTAAATACTCTTTTTAAAAAAGAAAACTAAATTCGCAAAATTTACACGAAGAAAAATTGGTTATAACAGATATAATTTAAATTAAATCCATTATAATAATTATATAATAAAATTTGGATTCTAAAACAAAAAGAATGTAACGGTTGATGCAGAAAATAAAAATAATTAATTTCTTAAATTAATAAGTAAATTAGTTAAATATTATTTGTAATAATTAAATTAAAAATAGTTTTTTCATTTTCGTAAATTCCATTATTTTATAAATTGAATGTCACATTTTTTACTTAACCCTTTTTAGTTCTTATTTGAATACGAAATAAAAATTTTTGTAGAAAAAAAAATTGAAGTTAACCGTTATTATGGTAATAATCTGGAATTTTTAATAATCCTAATCGTATAATCCATTTTTCTCCGTGTAAATAACGAAAAAAATTTGTTTTTGTTGAAAATATACTAATGATTTTATAACTACAGGCCAATTAAATTGATATCAATTATAATTACCATTTATTATTATTAAACTGCCAATGATTAAAATCACTATAAAATTGAATAGAGTGGAATTAAAATTAATTCCATTTAATTTAGAAAATTCCATCTCTTTTTTTAATTTCATGTAGGTGGAATAGAAGTTGGTCTGAAGTTGGTGTATGTGAAGTATAAATAAAAATTGGATTATTTCAAAAAAAAGTAATCTTTTTCGATTCCAGATTTTCTCACTACAAATCTCTATGAAGCAGATGACCAATCAATCATACATAATATTGGGAGTAAATTCACAAAATTAATCTTTTCAAATCAAACTGAAAAGGAATTAAGTGGAATTAAAAAAATCTAAATCTATTCCCTACATAGCAGAATTAAACTTTTTCTTTGTTCGGACTTAAAACTTTCTTTTTTATTCCCTTTCGTAGATTTAAGAATCATATATATTTCATACTTTATCGAACGAAACTTTTTGGAATTAATAATTCACGAAATATATTCCACTAATGTAATACAATTTTGCATTTCGTAATAAAAAAAAATTGATTTATCAAATATCTTTCCAATTTAGTGGTATTAAAATTTTAAAAGGAATTTCTCCATTTAAATAATAAGTATAAATATAGGGTCAGTTGGGGTAAATGGGGACAAAATCGCTATTTTTCACAAATTACCTAAGTTTCTTCCTTTAAATGGTAATATTTGCGGGGTTATTTTTTTTTAAGTTGTTATTTACATTCCCAAGTTTAATTTTATGCAGCAGAAGAAAATTTAGATATAAGCTTTAAATGCATGAAACTGACTGTCCCCATTTACTACAAAATTTAGAAAATTTCATAAAATTTGGAGTAAATGGGGACAGCATAGTTTCTAAGAAAGTTTTAAGAAAAAAGTTTCGTTAAGTATATTACTGTATTAAGGGATGAAAAAAATTGAAAGAAAATTTGTAGTAGATATATAATAGTTGAACCAATAGAAATTTTTTTTATTGTTTTTTATTTCAGTATTTTGTCTCGCATTTGAAAAAAAACAGACTTAAAAATCATACCAAATTTTTTTCTTATTCCTTATGACTCCTATAACAGAAATTCACTTGAGTTTTTGATTTTTGTTAATTTGGTTAATAATGACAAAAATCAAAAACTCAAGTGAATTTCTGTTATAGGAGTCATAAGGAATAAGAAAAAAATTTGGTATGATTTTTAAGTCTGTTTTTTTTCAAATGCTCGACAAAATACTGAAACAGTTTGACTTTGATTTTCAAGTTTTTATGCATTAAGCGATACCTTTTTTTATCTTTCTGACAATTGTCAAGATAAAAGCTTGGCAATACCCAAAACCTCTTCCAGGTGATCTGAGGTTAAAACATTGACGTTGAACTTAATTTTAAAACTGTAAATTTTGCTCCAAAACCTCTTGTCCCCATTTACCCCAACTGACCCTACTGAAAAAAAATTTATTTAATTCAAACAATCGGTTACTTGTCTACTCTCTAAATCTGAATTAGTAAAAATGTTTACTAATTTGAATTAGTGACTCACTTTTTGCTTCTGAATTAGTAAAATTTTACTAATCATTATAGTAACTTTTACTAACAATTAGTAAAATTTAACTAATTCTAAAACAAAAAGTGAGTTACTAATTTAAATTAGTAAACATTTTTACTAATTCAGATTTAGAGAGTATTATCAAATAAATATTTATTTGCTTTAAGTAATTATTATTTGAGTCAATTAAATGGTATATTTGTTTCAAATACAGAAGAAAGTATTTGTTTAAATAAAATTTATTTACTTCATATAAAAATTATTTGGTTTGTGTAAATATTATTTTATTTGATAATAGTTAAGTAACCGAGTATTTGTATCAAATAAATTCTTTTTCAGTGTACCTAAATTTGAAATTTTCAGAAAATGTGAAATTATTTTAGTATAAATATAGTTGTTTTGAACTATCATAAATTATAATTATTAATTATAATAATAATTATAATTTATGCATTACCATTAATGCATGAACCGTTATATTATTAAATTACACTGAAACAGGAATAATTATTGAGACACTCACCCACTTGTTTTGTACATCTCAATAACTCGAGTTACAGTGAAAAGAAACTTTTGATCAATCAATTTAAACCGACCAACAATATTGTAACCTAAAACATTCCAAATGCAACGTGAAATACAATAATTTCTGAAATTATATAAGAATAAATACTTGTTTAAATATTGTAACATAATGAATTTGCGAAAGTTAAAATTATATTTTAATTCGAAAATAACAGCTATATAAGTGAAATAATTGAAGACCTTGTTACAACCACCGATCAACCGTTTTTATTAGTTTGCTCCCTGATATAGTGTATGCTTGCCCTAGTATCCAGCATCCAACTAGAACTGCGCGGCTGACCGGTTTTTGCCGGAAGATTTTCAGTTGCATGAAGATAAATTAGAACTATCGAAGATTGGTTGCTCTTAACCTGTTTTAGGTATCCTGTACTACGCATTTAAAAAAAAAAAAAAAACAACAAAACTCTCAGTACCGAGAAAGTGTCTGGAGGTAGGCATGCACCGGTTGCATGGTTCTTCGATGCAATAAAATCAGATCAAGTCTAGTTATAGACTCGTTAAATAGAATGAAAAATTATTGTTTGAAGGTATCGCTTGTATAATGATATAAAAGAATTGAACAATAAACAAGTATTGATAAAAAGTATATCAAATTTTCAATTCTATCAAAATATTTCCAAAAAAAATTGTCAAAACATTCACTACAAAGAGTAGGCAAAATATAAAAATGAAAAACAAAATTTTCAGATTCATTTTTTAAGAATAAATAAAATTATAGGATTTATTTTTTCAAATTGATGTGAACAATTTCTTTTCGAAATATAATTTTTTGTAATGAAAATAATATTAAATTATTTTACTTAATTTATTCGATGCTAATCTTCACCTACAATTTTGTAGAATTTAAATTGTTATGAATTAGTTTATTTCTTTAAATAAAGCAATAATTGTTTTATCTCCTTAAATACACATATACGTTGACATATAAAATCCTCACGAAAGAATCAAATATCTATATAAAATGTGGATAACATTTTGCAGCCAATTATAAATTATATTTTTTATTTTTTAATGGCAATGTGTTTTCTGTAAAAATATTTTTTTCTACATTTAAGCACTTAGAAAATTTGACCAAAAAATCTTTAACCTCTGCGGAAAAAAATATGTACCATCATAAAAATCTGTGATGATAACAAAATGTAGTTTTTGTAAACAAAGGTGTGTTTGCTCAACAAATAAAAACAAATCCTCTTACATAAATAAAAATTTCATCACATATAGTTTACTTTTTTTTTTAAATGTTGCATCCGTGAATGAAATATAAAAAATTAATTAAAAGAATAATTTGATTAAAATTTCCGATAAATCATGAAAGTCCTTTTAAAATTATATAAAATGTTCTACAATAAAATAGAATTCTCAGAATCATTTTCACTTTGAATGGTTGAATTTTGAATCGACTAACAATTTAAGAAGTCGAATTTTTATTTTTTATTTCAGCAATTAAATGAAATTGAATGACAAAATATAAGGTTTTGTAAATCAAATAAAATTAAATTTAAAAAGTAATAAAAATAATGTTTTAAAACAAAACTATATGATTATTTTAATCTAATATTTATAGTTATTCACTCAGGGTAAAGTATTATTTGATTCAACATACGTTTAAAAAAAATCCAAGTACCGTTTGGTCAATTTAAACAAATTATTGCTTTATTAAAAATAATTATTAAAAGAAACCAAAATATTTTTGCAACTATGCTGTCGAAATATTAAAATATTTTGATATTTATTTAAAACAGTGTTTTAATTTTTTCAAGTTCTTTTTGAAAAATTTGAATAATTTCTTTGATATCTTATATGCGTATCAAATTATTTCTGAGGAAGGTACTCAATTAACTTTTGTTGAGTCAAATTTTATTTTACAGTACGTTAAAAATAAAAAATTCCTTTTTGATTCCCAAAAGATGAAATTTGTTAAATGATGTGATAATGATTAAAATGATTTTTTAAAAAACTTGAAAAACATATTTAAGACAAAATAAGTAGAACATTTTATATATAGATAAGAAAGAATTAATGATAGTATGCCAATATAAAAATACTTGCAGTTATTGCGATCTCCGTTAAAAAGTTTATGGAAACGAATAAAGTCTGGACGACCGCCAAAGTGGCTTCCCTTCGTAATCAGGACTTCCTTGACCAGATCATAACTGCTAACAACAACGCATTTTGAAGCACCTAATTGTATTTGATAAATGTTCCCATATAATTTTGCTAAATTGGTAAATGCCTCAAATGGTCCACCAGGTGCTCTCAATAGATGCAAGCTTCCAATAATTGGCAGACTCCTTGGACCTTTTAAAACTTTCACCATCGTCTCATCAGACTTGATTACTTCCTCTTTTTCCATTTCTCTTTCTTTCGTTCCATTATCATTATCAGCACTCTCATTCTTTGTTGTTGTTTCAATGAAACTAAAATTTCTTTTTTCATCAAATTTTTGCCTTTTTGATTTACTTGTCAATTTAAGGAACACTATCAAAATCGTGGCACAAGAGCAAAGCAGCCAGAAGACAGTGTCCGTCATGATTTCCGGTCAAGGACGTGTGTTCCAAGTTCTCCGCGAATAACGTCCTCTGCACTAGGTCAAGGTCCTTTTTTCTCTCTCAATGTCACGAAATATCCAAGCAGAAGGTCGTCGTCGTCGTCGTCAAAGTCGTCGTCGTCGTCGGTGTTGTTGTTGTTGTCGTTGCACTTGATCCTTCCTGGTTTTGTGTTGCGAGACTCCTAAGGCCTAAGACACACTCTTTATGTACTCACTCGGAGCGTGTTGCACGGTTACTTCGCGATCCGAAAGTGCATTTGGCAAAGCACGGATACCGTTAGAAATTCCACCGTGTTGAGAGGTCTTTTTCGCGTACAATCATACACAACTTATCGTTATATTCTCTCTTGCGCCTTTCCTTAACCCCCCTCCTCTCGGTGTATCGTCTTCTTCTTCTTCTTCGTCGTCTTCTTCTACTTCTTCTTCTTCTTCTTCTTCTCACCGCCCGCTCAACACAAGGATTGAACGTCCACCCGGATTATCACCGAAAGGAGGAGGTACTTCCGGAGAGGCAGTGATCCAATTGACTTCTGACTACTAAAGTTGCTGACGTTGGGTCTTTTCGTGAAAATCACACAAGCATATAAGTCTGTATATGTATTAAAAAAAATATATCACAAGTAACTGTGGCCTGTAAAAAAGACGAGAAACCAATGAGGAAAAAAAAGAGATAGATGGAGGGAAAAGAAAGGGAGAAAAATTATAACGAGAAGGAAAGATGAAAAAGAAGAAGAAGGGGCAGGACCAACGATAGAAGCGAACTGGCAGGGTGGATTGAAGAAACCAAGGTGTCTGAATGGAGAACGTTTAAAGAAGTGGGGATTAAAGATAACAAGATGATGATGATTATGATGAAGAGGGGGATTGAAAAAAAAGAAAAATAATCAAACTTAGATCAATATCTTAAAAGAGTTGTTATTTTTTAAAGGATCCAAGAAGATAGTCTTTAATAATAAGGAATTAATATATATATATATATATATAATGGATAGAGAAAGAGGACTTTTGTTTACCTCAAAAAAGGAAAATCTAATTTTTTGGGATACAACAACAAAGAAATATTGTTAATTCCGCAAGTGTGTGTCTGCCAGTTACTATCCCGATAGAGATCGGCTAGACTGGAGAGTACGTAAGTGCTACCTTGATACTTGTTAGGCGGGGCAGGGGTTCTTATAGTGAGGGCCGAGAGTTTCAAGCCCGCGCGTCTTCCCGCTTGAGGATATACACCAACTCGCGCTCTTACCGCAACTTGTGTCACACAATATACAAACTTTATTCAAGATTTATTGTACCACATGTCACTTATCAAATAATTATAATAAAAAAAAAATTATTATTAAATTTACTTAAATATATCGTATATTACTCGAATTATATTTAAATAACATCTATTTCAAGGTTTCCGTCTGTTATACAAGTCTTTGAACAAGTGGTTCCTTTTGAACTATTTAACAGAAAAACATTGCGATAATCATTTATTTAACTTATCTGGTGATATAAAATTCTAAGCAAATATAATAATTGAATTGAATCACTACACAGTTTCATCATTAAATGTTACTTTAATATGAAAATTTTTAAGATTATAAATCAAAGACAGTGGTACCGTGTTATGTGACAAAAAAAAAGAAGTTTATTTTAAATACTTTTGAAAGATCTAAAATTTAACATATGAATAGTAACGCAGTTTATTTTTCCACAATAGACTAAAAAATACAATAAACTAAATTGTTTCAATGGGCTGAAAATTTCCATCAAGGAAAATAAGTTGTTTTTATCGTTACTTTTGTGAGATTTTTTTTTATCTCATAGTAAAAAATTTTTTTTAAATTAAATGCCGTTTTGAATTTTTGTTATTATAAACGTCTCCAAGTTCAATTTCTGAAAGTTTGCGATTTTAACTATTGGATGGATTAACAGATTAACTAATTTAAATTAATGAAAATTTCTACTAATTTAAATTAGAGAACGAATTCCCACTAATTAATTAGAATACTTTTCTCGTAAAATACTGTATTGATTGATCTGAAATTTTCTAGAATATTTTAAAATATAATATAAGGAAAGACAATGAGTTGCCAAACTGTTGATATTTATTGAAATAATTATTATAAAACATTAGTAAATTGTTATAGAATGAGGTTATGAGTGACGCCAATGTTCGGATGTTCTAATAACATAATTATAACTATTTTAACATATATTTTGCACCTCATTGCTCTTCCTTATCATATTTTAGACTTCTCTACAAAATCCCAGCTCAATATACATTTAATATTTTACGTGAAAAGTGGTCGAAAAAGTTAACATTGTGGACCTAACAAACACATGCTTTTAAAGCGTTTTTTTATTTTTTGTTAAAAACCAAAATATTTAATGGCTACTTTAAAAAAAAAAAGAATCGATTTTTTTTCTTCATAAAAGAAGCAAATATTTCGGTTAAAAGTAAAATTAATTATTTCTAAATTATCTATATAAATTTATGCATTGAAAATGTAATCCTACCTTGCTCACTGCAATGGTCCAGACATCTCTGCTGCTGCATCTCTACTCTCAAACAGGACCTAATATATAACAAAAATACACAACATATTTATATTTAATTATATAATAATATTGAAGTGTAAATAAATAAACTATTTTTAGTATTTTCTAAAATAAATACTTATATAGTATTTTATGGAAACATTAACAAAAAATCAAAAAAGTAATAATAAATGTAATATTAGTAATAAATACAATAAAAGAATATTAAAGAAAATGTTAATTTAAAATAAGACAAATAATGAAAAACAAAAAAAAAAAAGATGTGTTAAAACTTGCAGCAAAGGACAGGTCTTGCATATCGTGATGAATCCTCACAGAAGGTGAGAAAAAAAAGGGTAAATCTTGTCGGGATGCTCATCAAGAAATTCACCGCATAAGGTGTAAGAAATGCATGAGAAAGTTTATTCTTAGTTTGGATCAAATATAATCGTTTATTTTCGTTCTTATAATAGACTGCTAAAAATACTTTAACTTATAAAGAAAAATTTTATTTTGCAAACAGAAAAAATTTCCAAATTAGATAACACAAATTAAAATTTGATAACTTCTCATCATGTTAAATTTTTCAAAAAAAAAAAAGAATGTTGAAAAATATAAAAACAACGTGTCAGATGTTTTTAGCTTCCTTTTAAAATAGGGATTATATTTTCATTTAGGGATGTATTAAACAGAAAATACCCAAAGCACAACGGATTTTTTGAAAAATTAATGAAATTTCCTTAAAACTTGTATCAATTTTCAAAAAATTCCTCCCCCTTAATTAATAATTAAATAAATATAAATTATTTACCTAATAATTATTAAAATGTTTTTTTTTTAATATAAAATATTTTTCATTCTTTCGAGACATTTCAATTGCTAACATATCAACATGAAAATCATTTTTGAAGAACTTTTTTAAACGAAACAAAAAATTAATTTACCAAAATTATCAAATTTAATATAAAATAAAAATTGAATTTATCTTATTGTCTGCTTCTGGAGTGATTAAGAATCGTGTACATGTATGTTTAGAAATGTGCAATATATGTAATGTTTTGCGCACAGTTGTACATACGGTTTCACCAAAGTATTTCGAAAATAAATTGAGGTCAACCCTATGACCGATTATTACTTTCACATCTGTGATTGGTCAAGGTATTATAAAGGAAAAATAAATTTCAAGTGGTAATAGGGCAATTAATCTTCTTTCATGTACTTTGCATAAGTAAAATTAGAAAATCATTCCTATAGATAACTATACTTATGTATAACTATAATTATCGTTGTTTACAGTTTACGAGATGCGAAATTATATGTGCTAAACTTTTGCCTATAATGAAGCAACGATTTCACAGATTTTTCAATGAAAAGTCAATCAAAAGACTTTAAAGAAATTTATGATCTACAAATGAGACATTGGCAATAATTGTGCGTGGTGATTATAGTAACATATATTATTCCCTTCAAACACCATTATGAAATTTACGATTAATTTTATTTACTACTTATTATAGGCTTAAACCTTGTTGATCATACGATGCACAACGTTTATGATCAACAATTAGAAAATAAATTATTTTTTAAGAAAGAAAGTTATAAAATTAGTTACCTGAAAAAATGTTTTTCTACAATTTGTTTTTCAATCAACATTACAAGAAATACCTTTGAGACGAAAATTCATAGAATTTCTCATTGAAAAAAATGTTCCTTAAAAAAATTTGTTGACCATAAACGTTGTGAATTTCAGCATTTGATTATATTATATATTTACTATATAATCTACTTTGTAAATTTAACGTTTCTTTTTTTCACTGTGTGCAATTCTTCATGAAACAGAAACAATAGTGGTTAAAGTGGAAAAAAATAAACGATTCCGAAAAAGAAGGAGGAAAAGAGTATAAAAGAAAAGGAGAGAAAAATGTGCAAAGAGACAGAAATATCATGTCAGCATAAGAAAGCTATCGTCGATCTTACTGAAACATTGCTTTCTAGTACTTCCTATATAGCATTCAAATGGTGAGTCAACTGTTTTTCCAAATACCGAATAATAATATAACAATAAACTTTAAAATGAAATACAAAGAAATTTCAATTCAATTGTCCACATAATATATTATGCAGAATCTACACCTATATATTGCTTTTATTATAAATAGTGTATTTAAGTCTTTAGAGCATAAAATTCATCTTGTTACAGGTATACTGTATATAATACGAGTGGTTTTATATTGGATACCTAAGCTTGCATTTCATGATTTTTTTCGTTTATATACACGTGCGTGTGGAGATTCTCCTCTGAAATTGGAGCGACGGTGTCGCGTAATACGCGGAGCAATATCGCAAAAAAAAAATTTCCTCAAGTTACTGACATATAACAAAAATCATTTGCAAATGAAAATAAAATATATACATATATATAGCTTTTAATTATACACACAACTATCAAATAATTTCATATACTAAAATACAAAGCTTACTCGGAGGGTAGGAAGCAAAATTAATCAACTATTTCCATATATTAAAATGAAAAATTTTCTTTTGTCACAATAAAAATAAAGCGGGGTCTGTATTTATTACACGGACGGAAAATTTTGATCGTGACAACGTCTTTTTTAATGAATTAAAATAAATTTTATAAGATTTTTATTTAGTATTTATTATGTACTTAAACACACTGAAAAGAAATTTATTTCATTTAAATACTTGATTACTTGACTATTATCAAATAAATATTTACTTGAACTAAATAATTTTTATTTGAATTAAATAAATTGTATTTGAATCAATAATTTTTATATTTGAAACAAATACCATTTAATTGGCTCAAATAGTAAAATTATTTGATACAAATAAATATTTATTTGATAATAATCAAATAACCGATTATTTGAATCAAATACATTCTTTTCGGTGCATAAAACAAATAAATTTAAAAATTTTCAAAATGAAATACCAAGAATTGTGGTGAACCAGTTAATTATAACAATTCTTGAACAGGGGACATCCATTATTTAGGTTATGTTTTGATATTATTCTGATGCAAAATTTCAGCAATTGATTGAATAATTATTAAATTGATTGATTAAACCAAAACACAAAAATCTTGAAAATATATTACATACTTATAATTTTCGATTTCTGGACGTCGATATGAACGTCAATTTTTCTAACTGACTCCCTAGAACTAGGAGTAAGACGTTGTCACGTCAAAAAATACAACTAAATTTTTTGTAATAAAATTTTTTCAATAAATTAAAATATTTACCTTAATAACGAATTTTCAGCTTCAAGAAGTTTCTTTCAAACTAATTAGCCCTCGGAGATCCCTACTTTCAAGTTAAATTTCCATTCAGAAAATGTGAAAAATAACCGTAAAAATAGACCGAGTTCTAAAAAGTCTGAAACTGGAGAATTCTGTGTCCTTCAAGATGTCCTTTTTTACTTTTGCCCTTATCTTTGAAGTACGTGACACCACAAGCCATCGATGATAGAATCTACAAAAAGAAAAATTAAAATACTGTAGTTAAATCTTTAACCGATCGGTAATATAGAAAGCTATAAAAAATTTTATTTCCAAATTTGACAAAAATAAGTGTGGCATCGAGACTAAACCGAAAGTAATCGAATAATACAAAAATCTGTAAAATATGACTTATAGTTTTTTCGAGAACTCGGCGTCGATATAAACGCCAATTTTTCTGACTGACTCCCTAGACCTCGGAGTAAGACGTTGTCACGTCAAAATAATATATTTCATGTTTTTGTTTGTAATAGTATTTAAATTAATAAATTAAATGAAAATTTAAAAAAGAAATAAAAAAAATTAATTAATTGACAAATCAAAAAGTATCATTAGGGTGAAAAATTTGTTTATTAGAAAATATTTCATATTGGATTAGCATTGAAATATGCGGAAGAAAAATGACACAAAAAAATGGAATTCTTTCGCGCGTGTAAGTTATTATATTTTTGCAAAATTGCTAAAACGGTATCATTGTTACTTTCAGCGAGAAGTATCACCTGATTGCCATCGTGGTTAAAGTTGTTCGATCATATTTCAAAAACATAAACATATCATAAATTTACTTTAAACGCAATTTTTGTTCAAATTTCTCACGACCATTATATGTATAAAAAATCTTTTAATTTTTTAGAAATTGTGTTTGATATTTAACATCTCGAATCATATAATCTGGTAGTTAAAAAAATTAAGAATTTTCTTTTAAAAAAACATATAGTTATATTTTATATTATATATAAAAAAAAATCAATAACATTTTGATTGTTCAACTATTTCTAGAATTGCTAAATAAATCAGAAAAAATTTCATCAGATTAAAGCAAAAGAAAAAAAAATTGAATTTGCAAAGCAGATCACTTTCCTCCTTGGGATGTATAAGGTGTATACCGCATATTAATTAACATGACTCTTTTGCATATGAAATAAACCACATGTTATATGTTTAATACATGCTGTGTTTATAGAAGCAGCAATGTGTGTTGGTCTATAAGGAAGAGTCAGTCAAGTTCAGGGACTTACGACTTTCCAGTTCCTTAGCAGGCTACCTTATTTATCACGATGAAAGCAAAATGTGGGATTAACTATATACTTGAAAGTCGCATCAATAGTTTTAAAACCAATTGACAGATGATTACTGAATTAAGAAAAAAACATTTAATAACTTTTATAGAATGATTATTCTGTAAAATCGATATTAAGGAGTTTTGAAGTTTTTTTGGTTTTAGAGTCATTATTTGAAATAAATTTGAAACTAGTCATATCATCTGGATCGTCACAAAATGAAATTTATTTTTAAAAAATTGTTTGAAACTAAGAAATATTTCTAAATTAAATTTTTTTTCATACACGGAGAAACTTTAGTTTGTAAAATTTGACATTATAATAATTATTTTTACAAAAAACCAATAGTAAGAGAGGATGAAGTGACAAAACCGATTGGGTTTAATCACGTAATAGTAATATTATCAATATGTATGTATTAAGTAAATAGTTTGCAAATATGAGAAATGACTATTTTGAACATTTTATTCAATATTTAGATTTAACAAATTAGATTAATTTAAATAATAATTAAATCAAATGTATAATTTCAAATAAAAAAATTATTTTTAAATATGTGTTTATTATTATTTTGTGTTTTATTAAAAATAATTTATTTATTTTAAGTGTTTCATAAAAATGTCTGAAAATCAAATATTGAAAAATTTTAATAAAAATTCAAAACAAAAAATAGTTTCAAAAAAAGTATAATTATATCAAGTACACCTAGAGAAATGATTTATTTGAACCAAATAAAATATATTTGAGTTAAATAAACGTATATTTGTCTCAGAGCCTACTAACTTATTTATTTGGCGTAAATAAAAATTTTATTTGTCAGAAATAAATTTTTCTTGGGCTCAAATAAATTTTTTATTTTAATGAAATGAAATATATTTGCAACAAATAAATGAGTTAGTAGGCTCGGAGACAAATATACCATTTCTCTGAGTGTAATCATTGTAAAAAAGTAATTCTTAGAATTTTTTTATTATATTTATTTAAAATAATAACTTTTTAAAAAATCTAAATTTTTTGAATTATTGTTAAAATTTTGAAGAAATTTTCCAAATTTTTAATTAAAATTATACAAAAAGTTAAACAGTGAAGGAAACACAAAATTAAATTTACTGAATAATATTTAATTTTGAGAATTTAATTTAAATTTTACTTTATTTATACTAATAATTTATACTTTAATTAATAAATTTAAATAAATTTAAAATATTAAATTAGATATATATTTGTAGAAATTCTCTCGCAAGCGGCAATACTTTGTGTTGTTTAGTATATAAAGAAGTTCCCTTTTTTCTTAAGCATGTATTATGGGGTTTTTGAATTACATATTCTACCTTTTTACCCAAACAAAGAATATACAAATATTATTATATATAATAAAATAAAGAAACATTCAGATAAGTTACTTAAAATAACAGGCGCTGAATATATATCATAGAATTAAGAAATTTTTGTATAACTTTAATGTACAACTTTCAATGATAAATAAATATGGTTTTCAAAGTCAAAAAAAAGTCTCAAGCATGTATTGCGACGATTATGTGAATGTGTGTATTATTAGAATAAGCTTTTTATATTGTATTAAAAGCGTGCGTTCCTCACACTTAGAGAAATTGTATATTTGTCTCAGAGCCTACTAACTCATTTATTTGTTTCAAATATGTTTTATTTCGTTTAAATAAAAAATTTATTTGAACCAAAGAAAAATTTATTTATGACAAATAAAATTTTTAATTATGACAAATAAATAAGTTAGTAGGCTCTGAGATAAATATACGTTTATTTAACTCAAATATATTTTATTTGGTTCAAATAAATCATTTCTCTGGGTGCAAGAATATGTAATATGTGTGAGTATATATAATATGTTTACTGTGATATTTGAAGGTGCAACTTGGAACATTTAATATCGACTATGGTAAAATTTAGTATAGTAGTAATTTTTTTCCATTATTGTGGAGGGCTTTTTAACTTTTATGTCAATATTCCCAAAACACTATAATAATTTTATTTTCACACGGGATGGATATTTACCATAGTTTTTGTAAATTTCATAATTCTTTTTCAGTTATTAATATATTTATAAAGCTCGTTTTCAACGATTCACCAACTTCAGTTTCCTATTTTTTTTATTAAAATTTTCTACTGTAAAAATATTAATTTTTTTATTATTTCATTTTGTAAACTACTGAAAAAAAATTTATTTAATTCAAGTAATCGGCTACTTGACAAATTAAATAAATATTTACTTGAACCAATTAATTTTTATTTGAATTAAATAAACTGTATTTGAACCAATAATTTCTGTATTTGAAACAAATACCATTTAATTGACTCAAATAATAATTATTTGATACAAATAAATATTTATTTGATAATAGTCAAATAACCGATTATTTGAATCAAATAAATTTTTTTTTTCATTGTAAATTTTTTTTAAAACTATATTTAAAACATTATTCTTTTTGAACACAACAAACTTGAAAAAAAAAATGTTTTTATTTGTGTGAATATTGAGAAACCCGATTGGAGAATAAACGGACGTAATTAAACGATAGAAAATGCTAGCTTCCTGATAATGGCATAATCGGTCTGCTACCGTATAAACATATAAGATTTAGTGCCAATCTCCTGTGATTCCCTTGAGGCTAATTATTAGTCCCAAGACTTGAATCAAGTTTAGATTTGATAATCCATCGTTAGATTCGAGACGAAAACAGAAGAATAAGAAAAAAACGTCTGCGCCGCTAGCCGGGCCTTATACACATACTTTCACTTTCAGTCTACTGCTCCAAAGAGAGCTTTGACGAAGAGGTGCTTTTGCACCTTATAGTTAGTGTGAGACCAAAGCAAGGAGAAAAGGGATCTAACGACCACCCTGAGGAAGAAGAAAGAGACATGCTAAAATGAAGTAAGATAAATGTGAAGGGAAGATGGGGGAATAAATTAGAGGTACAACCTGTATTGCTTCTAAAGCTGAAGATGCTACTGATGTTGTTGATACACTCGAAAATATAT